ATGTTGAATTATATACACTCAATGTCTTGACCATTGACCATAAATGCCTCAGAATGCATTGATTATATTCTCCTATATTTTACCAACCTTCAGAACAATGATGAAAAGTCTGTGAAGCTTAAATATTTTTTTTATGCAGATGACAAAGAATGAGGAAAAGGGAGAAAAGAGGGTCGCAGAATCAGAAAATCTAGATGTTTCCGCATACTTTTAGCTGCCCACTGTTAACTCCCTGATGTATGGCAACTCTTAAAAGTCCGTCACTGAATCAGAATATGCTCTTGTACTTCAAGACATTTGGGTTGTTCTTCAAAGAGAAAGAAATCTATAGCTGGATTAAGATTTATTTATTTATTTATGGTATGTCATATTCACATATTTTGATAAAAACACAGAAGATAGGAATACAAAATATGAAATATAAAATATTATGAACATATGTCTAGATTACAGGTATAGTTTTTGCTTCATTTGTTACAGCTGTAGGCTCTGTTTTGACAATCTGACACTATATGTTGGATGGTTTGTTTTTCTGCCACGCAATCACAATTCCACAATGGTATTTTACCCCACTTATAGAGAGAGCATCTACGCATCTACCATGGCCAGTACGAATCCATCTTTCAATAGATTGAGAGATATAAATAAGGATAAAGAAAATTTACTTATTGGACCTTTGTCATCTTCTTCCGTGGTTATTTTCTAGATTGAATTATTTTCAAAATCAAAACCAGAGACTCAACTTCCCAAATATCCATGTTTTCCCATTCCAGAAGGCCACAGCACTGTCCTAACATAAGAGCCCTAATTTTCCTAACCCAAACTTGTATAGTTCTTTTCCTGTGTAAGAAATTCTGAGCTTTAATAAATTTATTCAGCAGAATTATATAATAAAGCCTTTCCTGGATTATGCAACATTGGCTGAGGGACATAATCACATTTTGGAATCCTCCAAAATGTAAGGCTGTGCAGCATTTCTGATTTAATTCCCAGAGGTCCTTCAACTTAATTTGTGTCTGCAACTCTTTAAAGCAGTGATGTCTTCTTTTGTGACTGCATAGCTAATATTTAGTTTAAGTTCCACAGGTATGCAATGAATTTCTGATAACGCCAGAGTTCTGATAATCTGCAGAGTAACTTTTTACCTTATAATTAACTCATTGTCATAGTTTGGGGAGTCCAGATCAGACAGGCCTTCTTGACTCTGCTCCTGGTTGACCATTATTATCCTGCCCAGAATTAGGAATGGATCAAGCCTCAGCTGTACAGCTGTCTGCCTTACTGCTTTTCTGTGGCACAGCTGTGTGCCTCTAGTCTCCGTTGCAGTTGGCTCTGGGCCACGCCTATGTGTGTTAACAGAGGGAGGGATTAGTCCAGAGAAACCTTGTGTTTTGCACTGTCAGGGTGGGGATGTTATGGGCTGTAAGTTGGTGGAAATCCTCAGGGTGCATTCCCCAGCTGTGAGCCTCTTCCTGAGTAGAGGCCCCATTCAATGCATCCCCTTTCATGTCAAATCTCCTGGCATGTGCCAGCTCTTTTGTTTGCTGGGCTCACATCCTGGTTCCTTTCCCTGTGAATTGTATATGTGTGTGTATGCGCACATGTACGTATGTACGTGTAGGAGATTGCTTGTTTTTTGGCTAAAAAGGAGGTAATCAAAACCATCCTTGGGGGACTGGCCTGGAGGCCTTTCCCATCTGAAGGCCTGTTCTCCCTGAGTGGGGGCAGGCTTTTTAATATCCTGTCTGACTGGTTTACTCCGGACTATAACTTGAAGAAAAACATCGGCAGACATCCTACAGGAAAGGAGCTGTGGATGTGCAGCCAAATGCCTTAACCTTTTCATGTCTGGGGGAGCAGCAAACACTTCACACATGTGGTGGCTATGCTTTTTTGTTATTGTTGCCCAGTGCACGTGCAAGCCTGGAGCAGCCATTGTGATTTGCCAAGTTCATGTGACTTCTTCCCTTGCAGCTTTTCAGTGCAGTAGTACAACCTTCAAGTTACTGTCCCCAATCTTTTCTCTGCCCACCCCCGCAACCTTAAATCACCTTTCCCCAGATTGTTAAGGAAGGCAAGTTTTATCTTCTTGTCTTATTTGTGTGTGGAGTCAGAGCTATTTCTTCAACCAGGAGTCATGGGAATCAAGCCTTTTGAAATAGGCTGTGCCAGAGTGGAGGGTATGTCAATAAACCTATTTATGTATGTGAGTGTCAGGAGGATTGATGCATTTCATGGAGATAGAAGACAGCCTGCTGGAAATTTAGAGGATGGTCTCCATGTGAATCTAGGTATCATTGGATAGAATTTTTCTTAGAAGTGGTGTTGATCTGTGGTGCAAACAGGTTCTAGATAAGATATATAACCACATACAATTACATTCCATTCTTATCTTTTGTGCTGCCTTACGTATTACATTAGGGTTCTGCTAAACAACCCAAATACATGAAAATTAATATAAATGGTAAACCATTAATTTTAAACCCAATGATTTGTTACACAGTAATAGAGTGATGCTACTCTTTAAACTGTTTTTATGGCAAAACACTTAAATAAAATAACTGAGGGTATGCCAACATTCAATTCGGCATAGAAACCTGGAGGAGTATAGTCCACCTTGATACATGGAAGAAAAGACTAAAAATTATCTTGGAAGGGTAAACACTCAGAGGCCTTCACCCATTATACTGTGGAAGTCCTGCCAATAATCTCAGCGTGACAGCAGCGTTGTAAGGAAATCAGACATCATCCAGATGGACTGACCCCAACTTATTATGGTTTTAAAAATGAAAAAGGATTTTTTTTTTCAAATTGGAAACAAACTGCAAAGCAGTCCAAATTCAAAAATGTAAAGCAATATATTCCATGTAACAGATCTCCAATACCACCCAGGCAGCAGCATTTTGCATCGGTTGTCTTTTCCAAATGTAATTCAAAAGCAGCCCTCACTGTACTGATCCAAACCTGAACATGGCCAAGATTTACACGCCAAATTAGACTGGCTTCTGACAAATTCAGGCTATCCTCACTACAACCTTGAAAATTGGTGAAGCAGAGAGATTGAATGATAACATCTAGCAAGCTTCCTGACCAATGGGAATCTAAATCCAGATCTCAGGCTAATATCTTAAAAAATAAAACAACACTAGCTTACCAGCCAAAGCAGAACAAAAATATTGCAGCCCCTGTTTGATACCTGACAGGCATGAACCAAGGCTGAGTTCAGGAGAATCATCAAATTGAAATATATAAAAAGGTCTTGCAATCCCAAAACAAGTGCCCAGTTCAGTTTCCTTGCTGAGAAATGCCATCCTTTTATCTTGATTGCCCCAATCGCCCTTTCCTTCACTTCTTTAAGTACCTCTTTCATTTTGCCTGCTGATGAGTTATGTATAACTTGGAAGCTTGCATGTTTTTATACTGATATAATTTTGATGGATGGAATTATTTCTTTGTCTACTTTTGAAGACTGGCCTTTCAGAATCCTGGCTGCCCATTCCCCGTGTTACTCAATAAAACATTTTATTTTAGAAGCTGAGATATTAGCCAGTTTCCTACTCACATTATCCCAGTTAAATGAAACTATTGTTAATTCTGAAGCTATTTCTCCATTTTTCTGTAGAAATTATGGTTTAAGTCTGCTTACCATTAATTATTTCTATATCTAACTAATATTAAATACTTCTTGTGGCACAACTTGAAATTTTTGCCCCTTTCTTGTCCTTTGATGGGTAGATGATTTCCTATTTTTATACTGTATATTACTCAGTGGAAATTAACACGAATAAGAAGATGGAATTAGTTATTGTTTTGCTGAAAGGAAAAAGCACTCTGTCTGTGCTCTGGGACACTTTTTTATTATGGTTTTATCATTCCTCATTCAAATCCAACCCTTTTTGCTTTCAACTCCGGGAAGCCTAATTATTGCTTTGCTGCTTGCCTTCCTCCCCCCCCCCCTTCTCTCCTCCACCACCTTAAGCTGCAACACCAAGATTTAATGCACCTGGGACTGGTTATGGCTGGCTTAACTCCAGATTTTATTTCACTGGCCTGAAAATGTCAGATTGCATCTTGAAGAGATGCCATCCCTCCCTTGAAGAAAGCATGCTGGGGGTGGCTTTCAAAACTTTCAGGCCTTCAGGTTTACAGAATTGGGGCTTTTTCTTACTCACTGGGCTACTGCATTCCTTTTCCATTTTCCTTGTGAAGTATCTGCTATGATAAAAGCTTTTAGGTTGCAAAATCTGTTTGGCCAAAATAGAAGTTACTGGAAAGCATTCCCCAGCAGAACATGGTGAGATGGTTCACTCTTAAATGATGTTGTTAAAACCACAAAGTGGTGGGCCCAAGAAGCTAACTGGTGTTTATATCGAGACTGTCTTTGATCAGCAACCTTTCCAGGCTTTGCAGAATATTTCCCCTTCTCCATTTCCATATTCCTTTCTGAAAGTCCATAGTGGAAGCAAAGGGCCCATTTCAATTACAAAGACAGCAAGCAATCAGTTTGTTATTGTAGATAATTTTATAAATGTATCTTCCTCTTTTCATTCATGCCAATATTCTTCAACAGAAATGTTGGGAGTTTTTTTTTTTTAATCTAAAATGATGATATGATAAGGTAGATAGAGTAAGCATTTCCGGTATGCAAGCATTTTAAGAGCATAAGTTCTTGCAGAGTTCTTCCTCATTTATGTCCATTTTGCAAGAGTTCAGCATCACATTCCACATCAAGAGCATTAACCTCTGTGTACATGTGAATGAGAAAGCAAGGTAGACTCTATGAACCAATCTTTCATCTTTTTTTCTCTAGAATATATTAAACCAAATCCTTTTAACAGCATCATTTCATATCAAGCACTGGAAAATCAAGCAATGCCATGGACATTTGGCTCAAAAGTAGCGTAACTAAAGAATTGATTAAGTAACTCACATGTAGGTTCCAGATAGATTTGAAACGTCACCAGTACTTTCATGTGTTTTTTTTCTCTCTTTTTCTGTAGCCATTGAAACACAAAGTACCAGCTCAGAAGAGATTGTACCCAGTCCTCCTTCACCACCCCCACTGCCCCGAATCTACAAACCCTGCTTTGTGTGTCAGGATAAGTCATCTGGCTACCACTATGGTGTTAGCGCCTGTGAAGGATGCAAGGTGAGAGTGAAAATAGATGGAGGCATATCTACAGCAGGAAAGCTAAAGAGAATAAGGGTCACTCAAATATACAGGTTCCAAAGAAGAATTGTGGAATGCAGAATCCTAATGCAAGCACTGAGATTTAGAGAAAGTAAAAAATGTTAGAACATAGTTTCTAGTATCAGCTATGACTAGCTGATGTTTTTTCTGGCCCAAAAGGGACATTTTCTTTTCCAACTATTTCAGAGGGCTTCAAGAGTGTTTGATGAAGTGTCCAGTCATCATCTGGCAACTGTCATCATGAGTTTTGCCCATGTCCTGTGACTTTAAGAATGTGGAGGAGTAGAACTTTTTTTTTTTACAGAGCTGGGAAGATTTGAGAGTAATGCCAAGCTCCCAATCCATCTACTTCTCTAGGAAATGCTGAGTTTTATGCTTTGTTGGCTCTGAGATGAAGGCATGTGTGAGCGTATGTAGAACGGCGTATATATATGCCCGTGTCCCCCTGAAAACATGAACTACCCTGAAAGTAAACCCTAGCTTGGCTTTTACATGTGTGCCCAATTAATAAATAAGCCCTAGTTAAGACCCCACCCACTCCAGGATGCATTGGGAGGACTGAGCCACATGGGTAAAAATTAAACTGAGGTGGGGATGGAAGTGATGGAGCTATCCTACTTACCAGGCCTCGTACACCCTGACACTTACCTTGCCTTGCCAGCCCACTTCTTCTGCGGCCACTTGCCACTGCTTGCGCATGTCGCCCCAGCCTCTGTTTCACTGTTAGAGGCTTTCAGAAAAGATCTCTACAGCTGAGAAACGGGTTCTGGATTAACGTGTGTGGTGCCTCCTGGCTTTGTTTTGCTATCTATGGCCTTCTGGAAAGACCTCTGCATCTGAGAAACGAGGTCAAGGTTGATGCACGCATTGCCCCTGGCCTCCGTTTCGCCATCAGAGGACCTTCAGGGAAAGTCTCTGCAGCCGATAACAGAGCTCCAGAGTATATGTATATGTGTGTGTGTGTGTGTATACTTATATTATATTATTATTATATGTTGTATATTGTGCCAATCTTTCCCACTTTGATGTCCTTTGATATTTTGGTTACAACTCCCATTATATATAACCATTTGCTTGATTGGTTGGGGCTGATTGGAATTGCAATAGAGGCTACCAGTTATTTATTTCTTCTCTGTTCCATTCATGATATGTTATTTATTATTTTTAAATGTACTCCACAGTCCAGTATGTAAAAAAGACGAACTGCTGTGCATTACCTGTTCAGCATATGCTCCCACTTGCATTAGACCATCACCATGACTTTGTGAGTTAAGCTGTCAGAGATCAGACTGAGGAGAGAGACATGGCCCAATCAGCTGATCTTTCCCTCCAGCTCATTAACAGAGAACTCTATATGCCTCTGACACAAAAGAAAGGGTTTTCTCCTCTCCACCCCAAGTCCCTTAATCTCATTAAGGGATTCATTCCCCTGGGTTCCTGAGCAGCAGTCTGGCTGCTTCTGTGTTTACCATCTCCTCCTCCTTCCCTTTCCATATCAAGTGGCTTCTGCTTTAAGTGCACTGGTCAGGTGCAATAAGAGCCCTCTTTTGTTAAAAATAAAAGCTATTTCTCTACTATTTTTTTGTTTCAAAGTCAGATTAAAATTGTAAGATTACCTTTAGAAATTGGTTTGTACATGTGTGGGCTTTTGGTTTCTAAGAGAACGCATTGTTAAATTAATTTTAATTAAATAAATTTAATTAAATAAAATTATTAAGTAATTTAAAATAATAAAATATTTTCCAGTTCTCCTCTCCCCTTCCTCCTCTGTTTTTCCCTTGTTAAAATCTTTAATTTCTTGCATTGTTTTGAGTATGAAATCTGTGTGTCCCAAGTTAGGTGGGTTATTTTTGCAAGTAACATACATGAAGCCCTATTTTCATATAGTTAGAGATCCAGTTTGGTCTAGGGGCTAAGGCATCATGTTATAACTAGGAGATCATAAGTTGTAGTCCCATTTTAGACACAAAGGTAGCTGGGTGAACCACTTCTGGTATATATGTATATAAGTATGTATGTTTATATGTATACAGAAAGAGAGAGAGAGAGAGAGAGAGAGAGAGGAGAAGGAGGGAGGGAGAGAGAAAGAGAGAGAGATTGAGAGATTTAATGGACTGGTAGGGCAAGAGAATGTCTATTATATGTCTGTAAGTGGCAAACGGCCTTTTATGTATACATATCCTGTATTTAAAATGTGCTTAAAAATCATGAAGATCTACTAGGCTTATTCATTTGGGGTGAAGTTGTTACTGATTAAACTGCAGTTTTTCTCCACTGAATTGAGGATTGAGGATTAACGGCATTCCTATTTAAATTCCACAATTTTTTGGAAGACAGAACAGAAGACTAAATTGATTCTCAGCACACTATATATAAGAAGATTTTACTCTGTAAGAAGATAGTCTGGGTGTGTGAGAGAAAATCTTACATAATATGAACACTCAGACATTATATCTTTCTAAATTATCTCTCTATAAGTTTAATTCCAGTTAATTCTGTAACAGATCTAAGGTGGGTCAGGACCTATGACTATTATCATATAATGTTGAAGTAGAGAAGAATTAGGTATGTCTGCTACTGACTTTTTAGTATTTATTTTGATCTGCAATATGAGATAAAAGTATTGATCTATTTTGTAAGGATTATTGAGAAAAATATATGTCATGTACTATTTGGACAATGAAAAAACTATAGACACAACATGTAATCTGAGGTCATATAACTTTGCCATTATCTGAGCAGGTTTTGGATGATAGATAATACAAGGACCTCATATTATTTTCATTGTATTTATATTGATAGGGTTTTTTTTTCCACAAATGAAAGCAAATATACAGTTCTTTTTTGTTTTGTTTTTATCCTGGCTGTTTATTTTGCATTTTTATTGCTGATTTTTGTTGTATAAATTTTTTTACTCCTGCTAGCCACTAGGGTTAATTTGAGATGGGAGGCCACATAATTGAATGAATGAATTAACAAATATTATGCTGTACTGAACACATTGATGAACATGATAGATAATTTATACATACCATTATTGATTTTAATACCTAAGATCTCAAAACATTATACCCAATTTTTGAAATGGTTGAACTGTAACATTTTTTATACCATTAGCTAAATCTGCCCAGAAAGGCTAGTAGCAAGTGACATGATAATTGTCTAAAGCCTAGCACAAAAGTTTTGGTTAATTCTGAATTGGAGACATTGTGATTTTTTTTTTAAATGCTATACTTGCTCTCAAAGGAGCAAGGATACTACAGCAAAGTGAAGAAGCCAAGTCATATGTTTCCACACCATAGAAAAGAAAGAGTTGATTTGTTCATGCCATTTTTTTCTTTTCTGAACCCTATAGGGCTTTTTCCGTCGTAGTATCCAAAAGAACATGGTATATACCTGTCATCGGGACAAGAACTGTATCATCAACAAAGTGACCCGGAACCGCTGTCAGTACTGCCGCCTACAGAAGTGCTTTGAAGTTGGCATGTCCAAAGAATGTGAGTGAGTGGTGAAGAAAAGAAAGATGAGGTGGCTAAATTGTTGACCATTAATATTTTGATACCATAGCAAATTTCAAATGTCCATCCATATGAAGACCCAGACATAAATCTCAGTTATCCATTGAAAATTAAAAGCCAGTTTGCTAAGGCATTTTCAAATTATAATTCAAATCAAAATGCTGTATAAAATCCTCAGCTATATAGAATTCTGAAGGTGAGAGTTTCAATGGTCCTAGAAGGAAAGAAGGAAACGAACTGACAGAAAGGGAGAAGTTGAGGTGGGTAGAAAAGAAAGATGAGACAATTGCTGATTCTGTAGTATAGAGAGAACAAAAATTAAGATGAGGGAGGCAGGTCATCTAAGTATACGAAAAAAACAGATTTCTTGTTGTCATTCATTATGGAAATAAATATTATTCAATGTGCAATGTTACAACAAAAATTAATTCCATCTGATATTATCTAGAGGAGCTAAAGTCTTAATTCCCATAATTCCCAACTTGCAATTCCACATCAAGGGAACAATCTGAATAAAACCAGAGAGCGTCAGCTAGAAAAAAGACTGATTTGCTGGTTCTAATTTTTTTTTTAAACAAAATTGTATGTTAGGTGGGAGAAATGGATGACTCTTTTTTTCTGTGACTGTTTCTTAACTGAGCTACTCTTCCGAAAGTTGACATTAGCATATTTTGTCAAATAGCATTCTCTTTCTATCTAAAAGAAAAAGAAACCTGGGAATTTTTCTAGTTTTCTCCCAAAGGCCTGGTGCAGGGGGCTTACCCCTCTGCTTTGTTCTAATTTTGAGGGTGTTTCCCGGGCAACCATGATTGATGATGTCAGAGATAAATGACGCAGACAGGACCCTCCTGGCGTCTGCAGTGCTTAGTTGTCATGACTCCCGACTGTAATGGGTGGGGGACAGAACCCCAGTTTGCAAGGGTTGGACTGATAAATCCATGGAATGAAAAGAAATGTCTCAAATGTGTAGAGAATCAATGGTTAATTTGGGGCATCCCAAATCCTATTGTTTCTTTTTCCCTGTTCATTCAAATGTGAGGAAAAGAGGATGATGAAAAAAGAAATGTGGGCAGAGTGTACTTTATATTCTTTTTAGCTTGCTAACAATATGGAATCCAGGAGAGTGACTGTATATTTCCAAGAACTAAGTATGTCTGCCACAGAGGGTAGAAAAAGAGGGGATGAGAAGTTTTGGGGTTTTTTGGTTTTATTCCCCAAATTTTAACAAATAGGGCATGCTACCTGCTGATGAAGCGTGTGGCAATAGGGAGACTAAGGATTCCATTATAACCAATACTTTCTGAGGTCTCAGTGAGAAAATGGCATCCTCCATCTTTCTCCTAGGCATTGTGGGGAGAAGGGAGAAATTTCTGGTAGGGAAAAAAATACAGTGTGGTAGAGAGAGGCCAGGAATCAAAAATGTGGACCACTTTAATCAAGACTTCAAGATGTGCGCCTGTACATACACATCCATACATCCCACAATGTGCTTTTGAATCCCTCCCTTACTCATTTCTTTTGGTGTTCTTCACTTTTCCTCATGCCAGCTGCTTTTTCTTAACCCACAACCTCTATGTGATGATGGATGCATCGCCCCCCCCCCCCCCCCCCCCCGCCTTGGTGTTTGTTTTTTTTTTGTTTTTGCCAGGCAGACATGACTGATTTCCGAATTACCCCCCCCCCGCCCCCTCCTCCATCAGGCAGGACAGTGATATGTACCAGCCTACTCAAAGAGAAAGACACATCTGGCATTCCCTCACCACTTGTATTAATTTAAAGGAAGATTCTTTTTCCTAGAAAATAAAAATCAAGAATCCTTGCTGTTTGAAAAGAATTGTTTTGCTTCCTCCACCAGGATATTCTCATATGGATTTTTATAAAAATACCCCAAACAGAAAATGACAATAACGAACAAGGCTTTGTAATGCTTCTATAAATCCAGCATGCAAAAACAAAACAGTGCCTCAAATCTGATACACCTGCTTATTGTTTTTACAGCCAACATTACTATACTTAGTTTTGTTTTCTGTAGATTAATTTCCATTATTTTAGGAGCTGCTGCCTGAAATTCCTTTGTTTATTGGAACTTGAAGCTTCACTTATTTTAAAGTTTCTAGTAGGTTATTTGATTTAAGTTAAAAGTATGGAATAATATATCTAATTAATAATCAGTCACGCAAACTAAAAATCGGTTAGCTTAGTTAGCTCATTCTTAAACAACTCACACTGAAAATGGTCTAAAGAAAGTTCTTGTTAGGTTAGTGAACAAGTAGTGGATAGTTAGTAAAGTGTGTAAAATGGCAGGCTGAAATAGGTCTTAGGAAGCATTAATAGAGAGAAAGAAAAAGATGAAGTATGAAAACTTATGAGAAGACCACAACAGACAAGGCAAAAATTATGAGAGCAGGACAGCTTAGATTGGAAGGTTGTTGATCCATGTTTTCCTAATTAAGATAGTTCCTTTGATTGATCCTTCCTTCCTTCCTTCCTTCCTTCCTTCCTTCCTTCCTTCCTTCCTTCCTTCCTTCCTTCCTT